GGCTGTTCAAAACATTGTAAATGTGTATTTCCTACCAATGTGCCATATGGTAATATAGTGTAAAGCGCATAGAGCCTGCTGTTGAACGGGGATATCCGCTATACAAATGCTATTGATTATGGTGGCCTTCATGATATCTGTCGGTTGGGCAGATGATAAGTGTACACCATCTCCCTGAACATCGTTTCGCATGTAAATGACTACACTGCTGCATCGTGTGCATGTGCAGGCGTAACTGGTGTATCATGTGAGGTTCAGGTCCGCACCTTTGTGTAGGGTCTCTTGAAGGAGGGCAACATGAATCTGCCTGTCCTTCAGTACTTTGAAGAGTTCTGTTTTCTTGTTCCTCAAACCACAGATGTTGGGTTGCAAGAGGTTGAATGAACTATTCTGTAAGGTGGTGTGATTGGCTCCCTTTTCACGACGAGAGCTCAATGATTGCACTGCCTGGCGCATGCCTTGTTTAATGAAGCGGCGTGCGAGCTCGCATGTAGTTTTGTTCTTTTTGTCACGACAATGAGGACTGGGGCGTCTGTGGACGCATCCCACTCTGAGAAGAGTCAAAGCTTATTGAGGATAGATGGATACAAGGGTTTTCATGAGGCTTAAATACCTGGCTGCTCTGTGACCATGTAGTTCCCATATGATTCACATTGCCAATTCTCCGCCACCAATGACTACTGGCTTTTGTTTTCTTGATGTCTTCTTACTCTTGCATGAGGTATTGGCCAAGAGGAAGAGCCATTGGATCGTCACGTACTGGGTCGTTGTGACGTTACTAGAGACCCGCGGCCAGAGGGCAAGTCAGGCATTCCGCCCGGTCCATCCTTACTCACAGTCATTCTCAAACTGGCTGGTTCCTTCTCAGCAACAGAGGGCGTGTTGATAAGAGGAGTACTTGTAGTAGTAGAGGTGTTGGGCAGATTAAACACCCACTCAAGTGAGAGTAGGGGTGTGTCGGTGAGGAGCATAGCGTCTACCACACATCGGTGGGTTCTGCCTCCTGCACTTTGCGAGGCCACAC